CACCGGGCCACGTTTCCTTGTCCAAGCGGCAGTCAACGAACTCAACGACGACAACAAAAATGCAACAGCCCCGACCCTGCAAACGGCACCACGCGTCGCTCTCTCTCTCTGCGCGGCTGGTACCGTGAGTCCAAAGCAAAATAACTTTGTGCTTTAAATGCACGATGGGGGGGGCGAGGGGGTGTGTCGACACTCCCTTGACAAACAATGCACGGTGAGGTGGCAGCCTCTGTCGGAATCTAACCCGCACAAAATAACATCGATTATGGATGATCCATAAAAGATTGTCCATAATAGTTTTTTTTATGAATGTGTCGTCAAACCCGCCACCACCCGTCATGGGTGCAGAACGTGTGTTGGAGAGCCAAGCCACAATTCCAAGTTGGCTGTGTGGTGGCGGGTTTAACGACACATTTATATATTTACGCGATCTAACCCCACCCCTCCCCACCCCCCCCCCGTATTATGGATGATATTGGTCGCGAAAGCCTACGTGCTAAACTCACTCTGTTGGCTTCCCAAAAACGTGGTACCTACTTTACGGACCTTATAAGGATGATGGTTTCAGCGACTCCCTTTCACTCCCCACCCCCCCCCCCCAAAAACCGGATTTGAATTCCTAAGGTTGCTTCCTTGTGTGTCGAGCGCCATTAACCACGTGTAGTCGTACGGTCCCGAGAGCTCTCTTATACCAAGTCAGACCTAAGGGGATCTACTCTCCTTACACGCTTTGCAATGTCGTGCGTCTGACTTGCTACGGACTGATGTGCTCGGCACACAATAAACAATTGCTATACACTCTTCTTTTAATTTTACCCACCGAGCTATATAGTTCTCATTCCGAAGCGACCTGGCCACAAATGATAACGCAACGAAGTGGCTTATCGTGTGGAAATGTATAGCAGCAAAAATAATGTAAACGCACGTTGTTTTTAAATGTGGAAAGAAAACCGGAGGACCCGGAGAAAAATCCACACGACCACGGGGAGAAACTTTCTGACTTTTTAAACAACTTTTATTGCCGCCAGCAGCAACAGCACTGGAGGCGATTCCGATACGAAACACACAAAGTCACCAGCAACACAAATAAAACAAACGCTAGAAATCCACGCGCTGTGGCGCTAAATGCACCGCGCACAACACGAAATAAAAACCACGTGGTGGTGGTGGTGGTGGTGGAGTTCATCGCGCAGGCCACGGTGACGAGCGAGCGCTTCAGAAGGTGAACACGAGAGAGACACGCAAACTCCAAATATACAGCAGTTTTCAGGGTCGGCATCGAACCCACGACCCGCTGTATACCGGGCGAGGTAGTTAACATCCCACCACCGCGGCGCCCGAAATGCCGAAGCGTTCGCACGGCCCCCGCGCGATCCGTGACAGGCACGACGAGAGATGCGCGTGACACCCACACGGGCCGCTGTGGCCACGGCGCTGTTGGCTGAGTGCAAGGACGGTGATTTACAAGCGCGACCGCCTGGTCCAGGCCACCCACCCACCCGTGCCGGCAAATCCATCAACTGACTTATCGTAGATGCGTGGCCGTTTGAAAGGGGAATCTGACAAAAGAGAAATGTTCCCTGACTTCGCGAGCGATTGGCCCCTCGTTAGGGCCTCATTCATCAATGCTGGCCGAGCGCCGCGTGCTCCCAGAGCGTTACGTGGGCGCCGCGACGGATAGGAGATGTTAACTCCCTCGCCAGGTATACAGGTGGTCGTGGATTCGATCCCGACCCTGACGCCTGCTGTATATTTTAGTTTATGGTCTCTCTCTCTCTCATCATCATCATCACGGTGGCTAGGAGATGTTAACTACCTCGCCAGGTATACAGGAGGTCGTGGATTCGATCCCGACCCTGACGCCTGCTGTATATAGGAGTTTGCGGTGTCGCTTTCTATCATCCTCATCATCATCATCACGGTGGCTAGGAGATGTTAACTACCTCGCCTGGTCTACAGGAGGTCGTGGATTCGAGTCCGACCCTGACGCCTGCTGTATATAGGAGTTTGTGGTGTCGCTTTCTCTCATCATCATCATCATCACGGTGGTTAGGAGATGTTAACTACCTCGCCCCACACTTGTAATCGATTTCTGGAGGGGAACAATCTAACCCACATGACGTAAGCGCCTTCACACACGTGTGTGTATATTTATATTTATACTTCTCCCACCCCATCTTCCCCGCCTAGGTACGCGAAGGATACGAAACGCTTGTGTGGGAATGGATGAGAGAGGAATTTGCATAATAACGGCTGGCTCCGCGCCCGTGCGCGCATGCGAGCATTTGGTGAAATACCACGAGGAAATACGCGTGGGTCAATACACCACGGGTAAATAACCACCCGCGCTGGGGACACGGCAAAACCCCCCGCCACAGCAGCGGTGGCCAGCGGTAGGAGAGGTCGGCCAGCCCAGCCAGCCTGGCCGGCCTCCGTTCGCGATGAACGCGATCGGATCGTGGGAAGAAAGGAGGCCGGCACAACGCCGACCGCAAGACACGGGCCAATGCACAGACATGTCGTCCGGGCACCCCACGCCTAAGAAAGCGTAACCCGTTCGGGGGAAGCGTTACTCATAAGAATGCGTTTTTAAATAAATAAACATATCTAGAGATAGAGGTGAAACAGAAGCACTGGCACGTACCTGCCAAACCAACACTGCGGATTTGGCCAGCGGGCACCGCGCGAATTGTTAAAAAGAGCGGTTTAAGGTGAAGGTGCTTGGCTAGGCCTTCGTTGGTTTTACAACAAGACACGAACGAATGGGCTTGCGTTTTTCCCAATTTCATCATCATCATCATCTCATTTTTATAGTTGATTGAACGTTTCTTTGTTGCGATTCAATTGATCCGATGGGCCCTGGGGAGCATGGCTCCATGCCCGACGTTCGTTTGTGTCGCTTCAGCACGCGTCATACCAGCTGGTGGCCAAGTCTCCCTTTCTCGAATAAAGTCTCTACCGCTAACACGAACGGGGAGCCCGGCTGCTCTGCTTCTCTGTTGACAGCCCTGAGGCCAGCAGTGACATTTCCACATTCCTATGGTGGTGGTGGCCAAACTATAAACTATAAAACTATTTTATTTTTAGTTTACCAAGTAAGGCCCGCTGAGCTATAAAGCTCTGTTTCGGAAGCGACTTGGCCACTAATGATAGCTCAACCAAGTGGCTTATCGCGTGGAAATGTAGAGCAGTAGCCAAATACTCTAAACGCGTGTTCGTAAATGTGGAGGGAAAAATCGGAGAAAAGTCCACGCGACCACGGGGAGAGAGACACCGCAAACTTCTAATATCCAGCAGCAGGGGTCACGGTCGGGATGGAACCCACGACCTCCTGCATACCAGGCGAGGGAGATAACATCTCGCCACCGCGGCGCCAGCCAGCCAATCCACAGAACCAACCACTGGTGCTTCACCTGTCGAGCTAACACGAACGAAGGAAGGGCCGAGCCTGGAGCCATTCCATGACGAAATGAAACTCGCAGCCTTGGCTTTGCGAGAGTCACGCGCCGCCGAACCCACAGTGCCGCGCGGCCAAAATGAGCGCACCGCTGAAAACGTTCCACCAGACTGTCATTGACACGCCCTGGTCCAAGCCCATATCCCTCATCGATTGACGCTGTCCTTCAAGCAGGAGAGGGAACAGAACGGCTTTAGCAGCACAGACAACGGCGCTCGCCTTGCACTGAGCGATGGGCGAAGGCAGAGGCGTCGCGGCAGCCCTGTGACACTATCTGGGATGCGCGTCTGGGTCGCGAAGCACGCGCACTGGGTGCCAATCTCGTGCCGCGGGGAGCGTCGGCTTGTAGTCCGCTCTGGGAGACTGCCTCGGGGTCGGTGTTTGGAGTCTTATCGCAGGGATGAGTCCACACCTGCTTTCCCTCCGCGCTTCTACGGCTTTTGTTTTGATTTCTCGAAACCTTCCCTTCATTACGATGCCCCGCTCATCTGTCATTCGCGTTTTTTTTTTCTTTCAAATCTTCCCCCATTACTAAATGAATATTGAGCGATCGTTATCGACTCTCATGTGTAAAGGCACGAATTGTCACGAGTTGGGGGGGGGGCGGGGGGAGGGGTTGTCATTATTCAATACAAAAATAATTTGATCCGGCACATTATGTTTTTGATACTGCCCGTGTTCACACTGCTTTTCCGGTCTTACGCTCTCCTGTCGGAGGCAGCATCGTGAGCAACATCGCCGTCCGACTCACGCCAGTCGTACAACATCGCTGGGATATTTCGCGCATCGTGAGCCCAACGAGCGATGTCTAATCGACGATTCAGAGCTTCGCTGCGCGCGTGCGTACTCAGCACGCTTGCAGCCAAGCGCTACCCTCGCTGCCACAAGGATGCAGGTTCACATCCCAGTTGAGGGGGAGGGGGGTGGGGGTGGGGCAGGTGACTTAACTATTTTTTATATTACCAGGTAAGGGCCAATGAGCTATGTAGCCTCTTTTTGAGAAGCGACCTCGCTACAAATGATCGCTCAACGAACGAAGGGGCTTTTCACGTGGAAATGTATAGCAGCCAAACACTCTAAACACGTGATGTTGATGAATTGTGGGAGAGGTAACCTCCAACCCCCCCCCCCCGCCGGAGAACCTTGATAAAATGTCACGTGACCCAGGGGGAGAACATGCAAACTCCAAATATACAGGCGTCTGGGTCATAGCCCATTATTACTCCCTATCCATTCGGGGGTTCATAAAAACAAGTACTGTTGTGTGGCACGGAAACAGCTATTATCCCATATTGATGGAGACTGGCCCCTGCCATACAAATGTGGAATTGACCCCCCACTGGCTCATCTCTTCCGAAATGAGATGAGCGCCCATATTTGCAAAGGAAGAGCGCGGCGTTTGCCAAACTTAACAGGTCACAACGAAGCCCTTTGCACAACGCTGATCGGGTGCAATTTCCATTCACAACTTCAGGGCCAGAATAAGAATCTTAATTTGTCGTGGAGAAATCCGATAAGCTCTAATGAAGCTCTTTTTTTGCAGATGTCCAGCAGGGCCGCGTCACAAAGTTACAACCACGAGACAAAGTACAGGTAAGGTAAAATAAGCAAATCACAGCTCATAAGATCTTAGTTCATTTTAGCTGAATATCGCGGTCCTGTTCTGAGATGCATTCTCGCAAGTAAAACCATGTTTAGTTAAACCCTGTTTAGATGCCGCGGGTTTACATTCCAACACAGCAGTCTGCTGAACAAGGAACTAATTCGCATGTTTTGTTTCACGTGACAAAACTTACTCATTGTATGCGTCGGGTGGTGGCGGGTTTAACGACACATTTATACTCACGCAATCGAACCCAGAAACCTCTATTGTGGATAATATTGGTCACCCTTCTTTGGTTATTTCGGTAAAGTCACGTAGAATGAGAATAAAATAATAAATTGATAAAATAAAATAACACAATAATATTTGATAAATTTATTATTTTATTCTCATTCTACGTGACTTTACCGAAAGAACCAAAGAAGATGAATCATTGCAGTCACGAAAGCTTTAAATCGAAATATTGGTCGCGTTAGCCCGCTACGACTACCACTCCTACTACGTGTTAAACAGACCGCGTTCAACAGGAAACCACTCCACGGTGGGAGTACTTGGTAAAGTTTGCAAGTGGTTGCTAACCACGCGTGGAAATGTTTACATCTGCAGGCGACGCTGTATATGTGCGTGAAAAGGAACTTTTATTTGGGGGGGGTGGGGGGAATGGGCCGGTGTTTCTGCTGTGTTGCAGATGTTCAGGTCACTGCATTTGAAGGCAGGAGAGTGCTTGCACACGCATTGTGGAGGGTGGCTTCGGTTTGCAAATCAATTAAATATACATACTTTACCATGGGACCTTTTTTTTTACAGTATCACAGTATGACGAATAAGAATATATGAAAAAAAATCAATATTAACGGAGCCGTGTTTATTTGCATGTTCATCACAAGCACTGTGTGTGGTTTATGCGGATTTTATTTCTTGCAAAAAAGTATCCGTTTGAACATCTTAACACAACTCTTTGGTTCTTTCGGTAAAGTCACGTAGGTAGAAAAATAAAATCACGACGTTTCGGGCGCAACACAAACGGCCATTATTCAGCAGACCACGCTTTCCCACCTGATGATGGACGCTTGTGTCGCGCCCGAAACGTCGTGATCTATTTTATTTTACACCTACGCGACTTTACCGAAAGAACCAAAGAGTACGTCTTTTCTTATTTTTCATTTAAAAAAAATATCCTTTAATGTACCCAAGGGTGCTGTGAGCAGAGACGTATAAGAGACATAGAGAACGCCCACCCCACGCTCTTCCAGGCAGCGAAACCGCTGTAGCTATGCTTTGTGGCGACAGGGAGAGAGAGAGAGAGGCGTGTGATGGCCATGTCAGCAAAACGGTTATGGGAGGTGAACAGAAATAATAATAAAAAATCTTAAACGCATTCCTTTGCCACCTGCCGAGGTGGATGTTGTTGTGAGACTGGCCGCGCTTGACACGTCCCTCATCCCGCACCTCCGATTAGCACGGTTGGCTACGTATTGTGCGAAAGAAGTTCCCGCGTACATACGTGCGTTGAACGTATGCTGAACTTCTTTTGCACAGCACGTGGCCAACCGTGCTAATCGGAGGTGCGGGCGAAGGACAACAAACCAAACATGAAAAGCACTTCTAAAGAAATTCGTTTTCAATCTAAATTATTTAAAAGTTCACAGCTCCGGCGGCTTCCTAACATCGGAGGGAAGAGCGTTCCAGACGGCCGCAGTGGCGCATCTGAAAGCGCCGCTCGATGCGGTGACCACACCGCCTTTGTGCGATGGCCAGCAGCCAGAAGCCGCTGCCGCTGTTTGCGAGGATGACCGCCGAAGTTCACGTGATGACGGTTCATGGCCCCTTTGGCGAGACCAGCGAACGGAATTGGTGGTTCACTTGCGTCGGCTCCTCATGAACACGATCGTGCCCCTCCTGGCAGCCACGGGCTTGTCAAGTCTCCCGAAAACAGCTTTGGGGGTTTATGTTCGTGGAGGGTTTGGGCACTGCGTATGGGGCGGTTCACGGGGTGCTGTGTTGATGTTGATGTTGTTGATGTTGATGTTGTTTTTGTCCGTTTCGTTCCTCGCAGCAGTGACGTGACCTGCGGGGCCTCTTTCGCAGCCCGGCGTTGCTCCCTGAACTTCGACGCTGCCGCTGCGATGCTCGAGATTTCTAAAAAATGTAAAAAATAACTAAAAATGTTTGCGCAACAAGGAACGTGAAAGCAAAACCCGTGAGAGATTTACCGTGACACGCTCGGTTCGAATCCCCTCTTTTCCACGTTTGTAAAAATAAAAAAAACAAAGACAAAAATCCTCCCCCCCCCCACCCTTATAGCCTCATTTTACTTTTGGGGCAAGTGCTGTAAGCGAGCGTCAATTAAGGCCGGCACGGCACACGAGGGGGTGGGTGGCCAACACCACGCCCGGCCGCCTTTGTCTCCCCAGTGGCGATGTTCACACACCGCACCAGGTACTCATTTGAGACTGATTCGACCTTGGGGAGGCCCAGGACCGGTTCAGATAATCGTCACTTGTGTTGGCCGTGAGCGGGAATCTAACTGGAGTTGCTGGGTTCATAGCGCAGCGTAGCGCTAACCGCTACACTACCGCTCCCCACACACACCCACAATAAACATAATTAATCCACAATAGAGGTTTTTTTGGGTTAGACCGCGTAAATATATAAATGTGTCGTTAAACCCGCCACCGCCCGACACAGCCAACTAGTAAGGGTTGTCACGTAAACAGAACATGCCAATTCGTCACGAGTACAGCACACCGGTTGTGTGTTGGAGAGACAAGCCACAACATTTACAATCTGAGTACGACGTTTCGCCAGTAATTACGGCTAGCTTCATCAGGCAGACAGCCACATCATCGTCCCTTAATAGAGAGGCGTAGATGTGATGACAACACTTACTAATTAGCTGTGTCGGGTGGTGGAGGATTTAACGACACATTTATATATTTACGCGATCTAAACAAAAAAAACCCTGTATTGTGGATGATATTGATCGCGAAAGCCTCCTACTTGTAAAACAAACATAATGAACCCGCCCCCCACACACACACGCACGAAACATAATGAACTCCAGCCGTTGGCGAAAGTTTCTCTCTGCTTAATTGGCAGACCGAGGCGACGCCCATCTCCTTGTGTGGTAGCCCGGAGCCAACGGTGGAAAATCAACGTTGCTATGCCAGGGGCAAGTCTCTCCCACGAGGCAGTCACCGTCGAATTCCCGCAGGGAGGGCACAGCGCTCTTCATCCGCGAGAAATGAATGGGGCGAGTGAATACCCTGACCGGGATTTGAACTCGCAGCCTTAGCACGTTGCGAGTCAAGCAACGTGGTAGCGAGTCAAGCAACGTGGTAGCTGTGCAGTGCTGAAGTAAATGTGACGGGCGGGGGATCGCATCATCGAATCATCACCGGCCCATCAAGCGGGCGTCAACAAACGGCGCTGCCGAAGCTGAGGTTGTCCAACATAGCGCCGTGCACTGGACCGCTTCTGAACCCGATGTTCACAAAGACGAGGACCCCCCCCCCCCCCCCATTGTATAGCCTTTTAAGAGACTGTTGGGGCAAGCGCTGCTAGCGAGCACCTATTAAGGTCGGTTCGGCGCACGAGGAGGTGGGTAGTAGGGCTGAACGATTTTGGGAAAATGTCTAATTGCGATTTTTTTTTACAGATATTGCGATTGCGATTTGATTTGCGATTCAATTTTTTTAAGTCAAGCTTCAGTTCAATATTCACTGTGTAATAGATTTAAAACATGTGATGGAGCATTACCACGTGATACCATCAGAATATGAACTGCTCTATATATTCTAATGCAAGGATGAGAACTTAAAATATATGAATTGCTTCCAACATGTACTTATTAAAATGTTTTAATTGAAATAGAACAATCAAACATAGAACAATTGTTAAGTTTAATAAAGTTATAATGATAATAAAATACAATTCCAATAAGGAAGTAATAGGGCTTTTCAAATCGCAAAAAATCGCAGCCTTTGCGATTTGCTAATCGCGTTGTTTCAAATTGCGATTTCGATTTGAAATCGATTAATTGTTCAAGCCTCGTGGATGGCCAGCACCACGCCTGGCTGCGTTTGTCTCGCCAGTGATGGTGTTCACATCGGCTGGCTGCTCAATTTTAGGGCTGCGTCGACCGATGGAAGGCCCAGGACAGGTGCGGATATTTGTCATCGTTGTTGGTTGTGAGCAGTAACCGAACTAGGGCCAGTTCCCCACACAACAACTCCAACAACACACCACGAAGTGGTGGTAACATCACCACTGAGCTTGTGGCAGGCTACGTGCATTTTAAGGCCACGTGAAGTTGTGGACAGCCGCTGCTGACAGGAGGTCACCCGACAGACCCAGGTGCTATGGGACTGCCTGAGATAACTAACATTAGATAACACACACACAGAACCAGGGAGACGGCGATGTACAGGCACATACTTTCTCACACATACCAGGTCTCACTTTCTCCTCATCGCTCGACACGGCCATGTGGAAGGATAATAACAATGTCAAGAGCCGGATTTAGAGTAAAACCTGGTCACTATATATAACAAAACCCAAACAGTCTGCCTGCTTTCAACAGGCAACCGAAAGCCAGTCTGCCAATGCTGCTGCTGCCGCTGCTGCGGCGGGCTTGCTCACCGAGATGCGCCGTCTAACTGCACAACCTGCCTGGGCCGTGGGGACTCAGCGAATAGTTCACGTGGCCTCCAGGCCGCGCGTGGATGACCGTTCTACAACGTCGAGCATCCTGGAAGGGACGGGCTGCCACGTAGCCCGCTACTGCAATCAGGACACCAACGGGGACATTGTGCCAACGGTCCCCCACCTGCTAGTCAGGGAATTGATGCCGTGGTTACTCGAAAAGTGCTCGATCCACAATTGAAATATTGTACAGCACAACACGTGACCTAACGCATTTTTATTTTATTTTACTAGCTAAGGCCTAGTTTAACACGTAGGAGGCTTTCGCGACCAATATGATCCATAATATAGGGTTTTTGGGTTAGATCGCGTAGATATAAATGTGTCGTTAAGCCCGCCACCACCCGACACAGCCAATGAGTAAGGTTTGTCACGCAAATAGAACGTGCCAAGGCTCACCGAGCTATACAGCTCCTTTTCATAAGCGACCAGACCACAAATGATAGCTCAATAAAGTGGCTTATCACGTGGACATTTATAGGAGCCAAATACTCGAAACGCGTGATGTTGATCATACATGTGGAGGGGGGGGGGGGGGGGGGAACAGCGGAGGATCCGGATAAAAAAAAATCCACGCAGAACCCCACAAACTCATGCTGCAAACCCTTCATTTGTCAACGTGTTTCATATCATTGCTGCTGAAAACAGCAGACCGCTGCCATTCGTGTCCGTTCGTTAAAACAAAAACGAAAGAACCCCCCCCCCCCCCCCCCCACCGAGTTAGCAAAAGTGCAAATCACCGAAAGGGCGCTACCTCCCTTTGTCTTGTAACTTGTTGCATCCGCTGCACCTACACAGATACGCAGTCTTAAATTTGGTTGTTGTTGTAACTTTCTGACCCCGTTGCCCCCTACGGGACGTCTGTGACAAAGAGCTCTGTAGCTCTTCGGATTTCTCCCGGATAAACAAAGATTCCGATTCTAAAAGTTGCGAATGAAAGTTGCGTGTCATAATAAGAGTTGCGCACAGGGGCTTTGCCGTAATCTTTTTTTTAAGTCGCTGTCCATTTCAAACAGAGGCGCTCATCTCAAGCGGAAGGGATGAACCCCTGTTAACATTTTACGGGCAAAATGTTACACACCTCTGCCCACCCTGCAGTGGGCCACACAGCTCCCCTGCAGGGTGAGACTCGGTGTGAGTACCGCCACGTCTTCCCAGGCGGCTGGCCAGCGTGGAAGAGTAGGCCAAATTACACTCAAGACGGGCACCCGAGAGCCTCCCCACTTCTCGCGGAGGCGCCGTTCCACCAGCAGCGGCGTGAGTAGGCAATTGCAGGGCCTCCGCCTTAACCTTTCATCTTCGTTTTGTCTCGCTGTTCACGTTGCCAAAGGGGTTGGGCGACCTTTTCCATTGCCGATGGTGGAAATTCCACATTCCCATGGTGGGGGCCGGTGCCCCGATAGGAATACCACGTAATTAGTTTTTTTCTTCAACGCAAAGCGCCGCTCGGTTTGTTAGACCCCCAGGGCAGTGGCACGCACTCCTTGGGGGGTGCGAGATGTCCTTTCTGGGGGGAGCGAGACGTGGCCAGATTTGTGTGGAAGGTAAATAATCGAAAACACAAATGACGCACGGGCACGTGAGTACAACCACTTTGTTTAATCAAACCTGTGCATTCATTCGCATTTGAAATGTCTTAACGACTGAGAACCAACGGGCTTGCAAAGCGGCAGTGAAGGTTTACAACCACTGCCCTCGACGGACGATGATTCCTCAATTGGTCGAGAGCAATTTTTGTGACGCGTGACATTTGTTGGGCTGTGACGTCACAAAGACCCCCGCTCCTGCGAATTACGTCGCAGGGTGACGGCAGCCGACGTTGCAAACACTCCCGTGCGATGTGGCCAAACGTAGGAGGCTCACTGGAATTGAATCGACGTGAGCGTTAGTCAACGAAACGTAGTTGCTGCCCAGCGTGCGCGTTGTGTGCCTGCGCCTCGCGCGATGGGTCTGAGTCTCACCGCGGAACGCCGTCCCCTCCGACGCAGCACGGGACACACGCAAGGCACACTGTCGCCGGGGAGCGTAGACCATTTGTGCCCGGGCGCTCCGAGATGTAATCCTGAATTCTTGATCCCCGGGGAAGCGGCCACGGCGTCTGCGTGCCCAACCGCACCGTGGCGTGCCTTCGCTTAAATCATCCCCCCGTCGGACAGAATAAAAACATTAGAGTGACATTTTCCTAGAACTTGATCCCCCTTGCCTTTGTGTTTTAAATGCCAAAAAGCCCTTTTTTTAAAGTGTTTAAAGCAACATTGCCAGACACACGCTTAAAGAGCCAGACAGTCAAGTCTGGGATCTGGTGTCATTATTCTTCATTATTAGTCCTTGGGTAATATTAATGTCACAAGTCTCTGTCTGATCCACACCACGTACATTTAATACAATCGTTCCATATTCCGCTGAACTTGACTTTGGGTTCCCACTATTCATGGAAGGCTCTTTATACGTTTTTTTTTATTTTACCAGGTAAGACCCACTGAGCTATGTTGCTCTTTTTCAGAAGCGACCTGGCCACAAATGATAGTTCAACGAAGTGGCTTTTCACGTGGGAATGCATAGCAGCCAAATA